AGTGAATTCACACTATATGCAAAAATAGTCAATTCCCTGGCACGGAATATAAAGTTTCCAAGATCTGATGTTAACCAGCATTGCCAGCTTGTTCCCATTCCAAACCTCCCCTCCTATCCTAAGATCTGGTCAAAACAAAATACATTCCATAACTTGAACATTCCCATGATTGGAATTCTTACTGTCTCTGTGGGAACTATAACTCTTTATTGAAGTTATTTCCTTAACGGTCTTCCTCCACATTCCCATCCTCCAACTTCATTGATTACAAGTGACTATCTACAAGTGGCTACCCAGAGTCCCAGGTCCTCCAGGAATTATCGGCCAGAGGTATCAGAAAATATTGCCTTTTTCCACTGGGGCTTCCAACCTGGTAGGATGTCGGTCTTGGGTGTCCTGGTAATCATTTTGGCTGCCATGTCATAAAATCTAGCCCAACTGATGGTATAGTAGATATTGCTATTTATACAATATTTTTCCATAGCATTCTACAAGAAGGAATCTGTAAAGTTAAACTTTATACTTGTTGACCCAGAGTAAAGACTACCTCTCCCAGGCACTCTTGCAGTAGGTGTGGCTACGTGGTTAAGACCTGGCTCATGTCATGTGACTGGACATGATGTACACACTTTCCCTTATAGGGAAGGGTCATGTACTCTTCTTACCCTCTTCCTTATAGCTTCTTCCCCTTCCTTCCTTATATAGTCATTAACATAGGTGTGAACCAGCTTGGACTGTGTGGACCAGAACCCTCTAGGGTTAGCAGAATGGGAAACCAGAAAGCCTGTTCTCAGGTGACTTTCTAGATGAGGGGAGACATAGCAGATTGTGGATTTATATGATAATCTTCTATCTTATTAAAACAACTATAGGGTCTCTACATACATACAACCACACATAGATCATAATGTATAAGATGAGAGGAAAACATCAATCCCTGATATCTTCTCTACACAAAGAAAGCCATAAGGACTTGGAGACTCTGACCAGACCGTGCCTTGAAGTGAGAGCCATCGCTATTTGTTAGTTACCCCAGAATTAAGGAATAGTTTTCTCCCCAACTCCAAATATTCCTAATATTTGGTGGTTTCAAGCAGCTGTAATTGCTTTGGAGGTGAGACTCTAAAGTTTGATTCCATTGGAGAGGTGACTGTCCAGAGTAGGAATGGTTACTAAGAAAATACACCTCAAATGGGGGAAACGGTATGCAACAATGTCTGTCCCTTACTCTCCCTGTGTCTTAGACCATGGCTAGTCCATAAGGTTAAAGAAGCAAGGGACTGCAGCTGATTGGCTAGATATGAGTGACATAATGGCCCCGAGTCAGGGAAAAGGCATGAAACCTATTGCCTATCTGGTTTTCTAAGACTTGGAAGCTTCTGTGAACACTATTTTTATTCCTTCATGAAATTAAAAACAAAACAACAACAAAAACTGGTTTGCACATATTTAACCATCTTGATGGTTCTAAAAACAGCTTATCAATTCTATTGGGATTGCTAGTCACATTTTCTAAGAATAATTTTCCCTACTACTTTCTTGCTTTACCATATTTGTTATAATGAATATTCTCTTAAAGTTAACTGTAATGATACGGTGTTTAAGTTAAGATGCAGGCGAGATCTGATGAGAGGACAGAGACAAAGTAAAACACCTAAGAAGCACATGACATAAAATGATTCCAACCGTTCAAATGTAAGCAGACTAGGGATGTCTACATTCTGGTTACATGGTTTAGGATTTCAAGGACAAACTTTCTTTTAAAATTTAGTGGACTGATACAGAGCTGCAAACTTTTTATACTTCCAACTTAGGAATATTCAAACAAATTCAATTCAATGATTTTAGTTTACAACTCATTGTCGTTTTATATATTTTCCTTATGTCAGCACAAATTGACGAAAATGACATCAGGCAAAGCACTGGTTCCTAGTTTAATGAGCAGTGAGTAGCAAATTGATTATATTTTAAATAGACTCCTTATGATTAAATGTCCTTTTCCAACCACCTGTTAACCTGGTCATTATGAGATAAAGAACTCTGGCTACTTAGGTGTATGGCTAATAAGCAGCTAATATGTTGCCAGTTTGAAACATCTGGAACCTGTATTTTGCTTTGAATTCTCATTATACAGTCTTCCTAGACAGTAGTCATATACATAACATATATGCATAACTCTTCAAGTCAAAGCTTTCAAATAGATTAGCTCATTTGATTAATTTCTTTTGATTCAGAAATCAAATTTAGTTACTTAACTACTCTTGTTAATTATTAAATGGAGAAATTTAAACAGCTCTGTCTCAGTTCTGAGGTACCCCTTCATAGTCACATCCCTTTCAGATGGTAAATGTATATTATTTTGTTAGCTCTATTTTAGGAAAGATGTAATAATGCTCTTCTCCCTGTAACAAATATTTGAGCAATATGCCTTGCGAAAAAGGGTAAATTTCTTTTTGTAGAAGTGTTCTTGGGACTCTGTCACAAGTGTTCTTTTCCTGGGTGTGTGGAATATCTTCAGAAGTGTCATAACGCCCTTGGAATTATAAAAACATGAACATATACATTTTTCTGGGGAATGAGTCAATAGCTTTCCTCAGATTCTCAATAAGATCCAGTACAAAACAGAAGAAAACATTGTAACTACAGAAGAAGGCAACTATAATTTAAATGTAATCCTAAACCCAAATTAAACAAGGTATTTGCTAACTTAGTCTTTTATCCTTCCGAAAATGCCAACAACGCTTACCATTTGAATTGTGTAAGTATTTAAAATAATTTGGGTTTGCTGAGCTTTTCAGACTACTGGCATAAAGATAAAAAAAAACCATTAAGATCCTTCTAAATCCTACACAGAATAGCCTTACAAACAATATTATATTGAGCATTTGCTAAAAGGTTTGTCAATTAATTGTAAAACTGAGACAAAGTTGCTTTCCTGTCAAGAAGGGATTTCAACACTGCTGGTTGTGTCACTCACTGTACAAGCAAAGGTTTTATACACTTAGCAGAAATGCTAATTAAAAGGACAGAAGGCCTGGGTTCCAGTGCCATTTTTATTTGTAACTAACCGTATACAAATCACTTATCTATAAAATAATGGTTAACATCTATCCCCTAATTCACAAATATATCATGAAACCGAAGTCTCCCCCCAGAACTTCTTTTTAAACCATGACATTACTGTTAATTAGCTTATACTTAACTAAAGGATAAAAATGACAAATTGTAGGGGCACCTGGGTGGCTCAGTGGGTTAAAGCCTCTGCCTTCGGCTCAGGTCATGATCCCAGGATTCTGGGATCGAGCCCCGCATCGGGCTCTCTGCTCAGTGGGGAGCCTGCTTCCTCCTCTCTCTCTCTGCCTGCCTCTCTGCCTACTTGTGATCTCTGTCAAATAAATAAATAAAATCTTAAAAAAAAAAAAAGAACACATTGCTAGAGTAAGAGTCTTATTCCACTAGAAATAATGTCAAACAGGAATGTCCTATGGACTCTTCAGATGCCCAATCAAAATGGCCAAGAAAACATTTGTGTGCTTGTTTGTTTGTTTGTTTAATCCTTTTCTCTCTCCCTCTTTTTTATTCAGAATTCAGGTCCCTACCCCAGGCATACTCCTCAGTACTCTGATGCGGTGTAAGAAATGTTAGCATTCGGTCACTACAGAATAAACACGTAAGAGGAATTAACATATTGAAAAAAGATGCAAAAAGAGGATTCTAAGTCGGTATAGAAAAATTTATAGACTCTAAGCATCTGTATATGTACACCATCTATCAGGGACATGTGTTGTGACAGTCATATGTATTAACAGATCCTCAAAATGTAAGCACCTCTATTTCTCTGTGTTTAACAGTATCAATTTTGTGTGATTTAGTTTCTAGTTCTGGACTTACCCTTACTTTATGATGACACAAAAACAAACAAAAAGACAAAAAACAAAGACTGGAGCATGGTTCACAGAGAAATACAGAACAGATACAAATACCCTAATAAAATAACCATGTACACCATTGCTAGGGAAACATTTTAGACGAAATATACTTTCACTATTGGCCCCAAATGCCATCACCCACTTACATTCTTTAACTGTCAACTTTTAATAGAAAAATAACTTTGTGATGATAATCATATACAGTGACTTACAAAACTTGACAAAACATTTCAATGCTACACAAAACAGTTCCATACACAGCTTTAAGTTTTAAAGTTCTCTGCGGGCACTTGATTTTATGGTTGATAGATGCAGTAACTACTGATCTCAATAAAACACCCTTTTAGCTTAAATGTATTTTCAAAACCAGTATTACTTCACAAAAACAGTAAAGAATAAATCACTTCCTGCTGAAGAATCCTCTAAGATGAACACCAAAACTATACAGCCAAGATATTTTAGGAAAGCATATAAACTTTTTAAGACTAGGCATGACGAACAGATAAAAATTTAATTACTCAATCATATGTCCAGTGAAAAAAAGGATTGTTTATTTGATTGAATGAAGCACGTATCAGATATAGATGAAATATATGATCTTACAAAGCAAGTTACCTTTTTTTGGTTTAGAAGGGTGTTTAAATAATTGGTGATTCTACTAGATTGGATGTTTTTTAAAATAGAAAAATGGTCATTTAGCAACCGCACATTATATTCCAAAATTAAAAGTGAAATTTCTTTGAAAGCAGTGGAATCCTGATTTTTTTTTAACTTTCTGTGAGCTCTTGAGACCATTCTGCACATTATCAAAATGAAATCCCATTTTATAACATATATCCAAATTTTTTTCTTTGCAGAAGGGGAGAAAACCAAACCAAATTTAACTATAATAACTTATAATACTAAAAACTGGCTAGTTCAAAATTTGGGAAATCTACTACTTTCATTATTCTGAAGGAATATATAAACCTTCAAAGCCCTACCAACAACTTCTAGTCCAATGTTCTACTTTTTAAAAATTAAAAAGTTAAATTCTTCGTGGCACTAAATAGAATTAAAAAGTTAACAGAAGGCTAAAGTAGAAAATCAAAATATAAAGGGCATAACTAACCAAAACAATCCACTGGTGCAACAAATATTTGAACAATGAAAAAAACCACCAAGCATTCTAATCAACTAGAATAGTTCATATTTGCATGTTTTAATCTCAACTTTTAGCACAGTAAATTATCATATAGGTTGATTTATAATCATGGACTATTTAAATTCTGTAACATTACATTAGTAATTCAAACATGACCCTTTCTAAACCAAATCTGCAGTCCTAATCAACATTTTTCTTTTCAGGAAAAGGAAATCTTTTTAAGATACATTCCATAGTAGTAGAAACATTTTAGTGCTTCAAAATATTTACAAAGAACCCTGCTGATCCTGTGCATTTCGCTGAGGTGCTACCTGCACCCAGACTTCATCATCAGAAAAAGAACTTGAACTTCCTGACTCTGAGTCCAGTTCACTGAATCCATCTAAGTCCCATTCAGTGCTAGACTCACTTCGAGCATCATCTTCCTCAGTGATGAAACTCTGTCCAGGTTCGAGGCAGGAAGGATAAACACGTGCACAGAGGCAAATAAAGCCAGAGTCAAACTGCAAAAGGCCTAACATGGTACCTATATTAATCCACTGGTCTTCCCTAGTATCATATTCATAAACAGTTACCCGGTTTTTTTTCCACTGAGGGGTGGTGGAAGTGATGAGAAGCAACTTTTGGCCATGATTGACAATCTGATAGTTGTGGGTCTCTGAGTCCAAGGGAATATTACTAATCCGCCTCCATTCTCCCCTGGCTGGGTTATAGACCTTCATGACTGGGATGTCACAGATGCAGTAGATCTCATCATTGAAGACACAGGCTTCCTGAAAGTCACTACGTTTAAGAGAAGCACAGTTCAGCCACGTATTGTGGCTAGGATCGTAGTAGAGCATGCGCTTACTGTTCACAGCATAAAGATAGTTCTGAACCACTATTAGTTCAAAGGAATAGAAGGAATGGGGTACAGGAGCCACCAGCGCCCACTGGTTTCTCTGGACACTGTAGCATTCCACTTCCTTCAGTTTGACTCCAGTAATAGGGTCTCGCCCACCCAAGATGTAGATGTAGCCATTGAGGTAGGCCACATCCATGCCCTCCCGGCACAGCAGGCGGTCGGCAAGCTGCTGCCAGCTATTCTGGGCTGGCTTGTACACCCAGAGGTCCTTCCTGGGCTGAGCGGCCAGGTAGATGTCATGGTCTGGAGAGACACAGACAGCTGAGGAGGTGATAGTCTTAGTGTGAGCCAAGCTGGTTAAAGGAGATGGCATTGTGTAAATGTCCCCTGAGTATGGGTCATAGCAGAGAAAGGGATCTCTAGGATGTCCAAAGAAGACCACCATCTCCTTGGCACACATACCCAGTCTCTGGGGGGGATTTTCTGCTGTGGGTACAACAGAGCTGTTGCTGCTATCTGGCTTCGGGACCAGAGACTTGCACAACTTGTCACCATAGTGCATCTGCAGGGCCCCTTCAATAAGGTCTAGACAGTACTTCTTCACTATGGGCTTGGTCAGCAGCCCTTCCAAGTAATCCCGATCTTCATCTCTGAAGTGTGTCCAGCGGACACACTTGAAGACCTCCGCAGCGCTGGGGCCCCGCTCCTTGGGAGCCGCCTCCAACCACTGCACGGCCACATGACACACAGTCCGCTCACTCTCGATGTCCAGACTATCCAGACGCAGGACAGCCAGCAGCTGGGCCAAGCTCAGATCTGCCAGACTCTCCTCCCTTACTGAACCCATCCGGCTGAGTTGCTTAAAATTGTGGGCTATAAAGGACTGGGCCTGCGATCGCAGCTTGTGATGGTCGAAGGCGTCGGCAAACTTGAGGATAGCAGTGCAGTTGGCCAGGTCAAGGCGGCGGGCTAGGAAGGAGGCACAGGCTTCCCGCACATATTCGAGCTGCAACATGTCAGAGGCCGCGTAAAGACGTTGCACGTTGGCCTCACTCAGCGACACGCGACCCGTGTAGCAGTAGTCGACCAGCACCTCGAAGGACTCGGCATCCACATCATGCATAGTCACGTTTGCCTGGTGGCTCTCGTACATGCCACCGGTGAACATGCTCTTGAAGTAGGGACACGCGGCAGCCAGCACGTTACGGTTGCAGGAAAAAAGGCGGCCGGTTCCAGGCCCGCTGCCAGGTGTCACCACCTCGATGGTCACATCACATAACAGCCGCGCGTCGTAGAAGGACTTCAGCTGTGCCAGGAGGGCTGCAGAATGAGCCGTGTCCTTCAGCTCCTCCGGGCCCGTGAAAAAAGCTGAAACAGAAGGCTTGGAAATTCTCTTGGGTCGCCTCCCGCCGCGGGGACTGGCCAGGCGGCGAGAGCGCGGAGCTTCTTCCCGGGACTGCATGGTGGAGATGGCGGCGGGGTACGAGGGCGAGAATGGGTGCAAGGACCGGGCTCTGGCTCCTCCTCGCCCTCTTTTCGAAGGCGCTAGATCGCGGCGTCCCTGACTAGACTGCAGGGGCCGCACTTACTCAACTCAGCCCTGAGCCGCGGTGCCGCCTCCCTTTATCGCGTAGACAGTGCCTGACTCACCCTCTTCCAGTTCCGCGCCCTTTCTCCGCCTCAGTTCGTTTACAGGACCCGCTGGACGGAACCAAGAAAGCCGCCACTGCCGCGCTGGCAATACCAGTAGGCCTCCAAGAGAACTACAGCTCCCAGGCTGCCTTTCGCGCCTCGAGGCATGCCGGGGCCCTCCAGACTCAAGGGGATAAGCGGACTGACAGAAGCCGCTGTGCATCTTGGGAGTAGTAGTTTGAGTAATATCGCGAGGTTTCTTGGGGCGAACTGCTCGGCTAACAGAATTTGAAAGCGTTAATTCTCCTGGATTTGTTGGTTTGCAGGATTGGCTTTGAAGTTCCACGGTAAAATCTCCGTTTTAGTATTCGTTAATTGTGTGGCATCCCTCTGAGAACTTTTCCTTCTGTGAAGTGGGAATAATAGTTTTCATGGGATTGTGTGAGAGTTGAATGAGATGAATTGGAGAGGACATAGGGCGCTTCAATAAATACTTGTTGATTAGAATAATTACATGCTTACACCATGCCTAGAATAGGAAGATTCGATCTTTGTTAGCTTTTTTTTTGGGGGGGGGGTTGTTAAAAAAAAATGAGATACCCAGAACATGTGAAACCATGAGCATTTTCTGCAAGAAAACTTTGTTTATAATGTTGCTTCTTTCGAAGGGTTCTGAAGGTTATTACAATATTTTCAATACTAAACGATATCCGTAGGTTCATTAGGATGTCTTAGACAAAGATGAGATCCTAGAGAACACCATTTATAGGTGGCCTCAAAAAAGCAGATAAGGCATATTAAACAGGTGGGTCTCAACATCTCACCAAATCAACACTTCCTCTGGGGAGCAAGATTATTTTCATAAATTCTTAATATTAGTGTTTTTTGAGCTAATACTTCTCATTTGACCTCCTTTCCGCAAATCAGTCGAAGATTATAGTTGTCTTTATCGAAGAGTTTAAACGGGAGTTTTAAAATATTTAAACACAAGGCCTTGTACAAAAGCACAAGATCCTGAAAGCTCTATATTCATGCATGCCGTAATATTTTGAATTGATATAGTTCAATCTGTGCTTTACAAACGTGTTTATGTATGTATTGATCAATATTCTTAGTTAAATGGTCAAAATCAAGTGCTTAGAGACTGAGTTTTGGGTCATCTTTTTTTAAAAGGGAACTTTTTTTTTTTTAAGATTTTATTTATTTATTTGACAGAGATTACAAGTAGGCAGAGAGGCAGGCGGCGGGGTGGGGTGGGGGGTGGGGAGCAGGCTCCCCGCTGAGCAGAGAGCCGGATGTGGGGCTCGATCGGAGGACCCTGAGATCATGACTTGAGCTGAAGGCAGAGGCTTAACCCGCTGAGCCACCCAGGAACCCTGGGGAGCTTTTACTTTAAAAAGCAGTTGCTCTTGCTACTAGTTTGTCACTCGTTACCATAACTTAACAAAATCTTGGTATTACATTGATAGGTGGATAACACATGGCAGGAGAATAACTCAAATTGTTTTGCTCTCTTGCCCTATTAGCTGGAGAGCTTCTACTGGAAATAAGGATAGTGGGCTCCAGTACCTCCTCTGTAGCGTTGTTGGGTATATCCCTTAGACACATTTGAGAGAATTAGGTCATTAGTAACATTGATTGCTTTCTCACCTGCACTAGAAGAGCTGGGGAAAAAGCAATTACAATTTTTTCATATTGGTAAAATATACAGTAGTTACCATTTTAATTCTTTAAGAGTACATTTCTCTGGCATTAACTACATTCACATTGTTTTGCAGACATCACCACCACCCATCTCCAGAGCTCTTTTCATCTTGCAGAACTGAAGCTTTGTACCCATTTACAGTAACTCTCCTTTCCCCCTTCCCCCAGCCTCCTAGTAATAATCACCATTCTACGTTGTCTCCGAATTTGATTACCTTAAGTACTGCATATCAGTTCAGCGACTGATTTTTAACTTCCTTATATCTGCCCTTAGTTAGTTCGTTTAGATTATCTTTTTACACAATCCAAAGTATTTAGCAGGACAGTAAACAACGTGTGTTGGAGAGGATGTGGAGAAAGTGGAACCCTCTTACACGGTGGGGATGCAAGTTGGTGCAGCCACTTTGGAAAACAGTGCAGAGATTCCTTAAGAAATTAAAAATAGAGCTTCCCTATGACCCTGCAATTGCACTACTGGGTATTTACCCCAAAGATACAGATGTAATGAAAAGAAGGGCCATCTGTACCCCAATGCTCATAGCAGCAATGGCCACGGTCGCCAAACTGTTGAAAGAACCAAGATGTCCTTCAACGGCCAAATGGATAAGGAAGATGTGGTCCATATACACTATGGAGTATTATGCCTCCATCAGAAGGGATGAATACCCAACTTTTGTAGCAACATGGACAGGACTGGAAGAGATTATGCTGAGTGAAATAAGTCAAGCAGAGTCAATTATCATGTGGTTTCACTTATTTGTGGAGCATAAGAAATAACACAGAGGACATGGGGAGAGAGAGAGGAGAAGGGAGTTGGGGGAAATTGGAGGGGGAGATGAACCATGAGAGACTATGGACTCTGAAAAACAATCTGAAGGTTTTGGAGGGGTGGGGGGTGGGAGGTTGGCTGAGTATGGAGGGCACGTATTGCATGGAGCAATGGGTGTGGTGCAAAACAATGAATTTTGGTACACTGAAAAGAAATTTAAAAAATTAAAAATTAGGGGCTCCTGGGTGGCTCAGTGGGATAAAGCCTCTGCCTTCAGCTCAGGTCATGATCCCGGGGTCCTGGGATTGAGCTCCGCATTGGGCTCTCTGCTCAGCGGGGAGTCTGCTTCCTCCTCTCTCTCTCTGCCTGCCTCTCTGCCTACTGGTGATCTCTCTCTGTCAAATAAATAAATAAAATCTTAAAAAAAAAGAAAAAAGAAAAACCGAAGTATTTAGCAGGCACAGTGCCCTAAGGTCTGAAGGAGTGCTTCCACCGAACTTTGTGACACTGCAAACGTTGAATACCTTGACTGACTGATAAGGTAGCTGGAAGCCACAAGCAGCTTTTGAGTACTTCAGATGTGGCTAGTGCAACTGAGGAATTTAACATTTTAGAAACCCAGCATTGGTATCACTGCAATTCAATGGGAAGAAGAGTGTCTGTTCAACAAATAATGTTGAACAATCAGTTCACAATGTTAAAAAAAAAAAAAAAAAAAAAAGAACTTTGGCCCTTAGCTCATACCACACACATAAAATTTTAAATGGATCTTAATATTAAACAGAGACATGAAAACTCTGACACCTCTAAAAGAAAATATAGAAGGCTGTCTCTGATTCCGAAGTAGGCAGACATTTTAGGACACATACACAAAAACACTAATCATAAAAAAAATGATAAAATGAACTTCAACAAAATTACAAGCTTTTGTCTATCAGAAGGCAGTGAAAAAATTAAAAAGCCATAGTCTGATACACACACACACATACACACACACACACACACACACACACACACACATATACATATATATATAATTTTTATTTGTAAGGGCGCCTTGCTGGCTCAGTCAGAAGGGCATGTGACTCTTAATCTTGGGAGTTGTGAGTTCAAGTGTCACAGTAGGTGTGGAGATTACTTAAATAAGACTTTAAAAAGTTTGTGATACATAAACCCAATAGTCAATAAAAACATGAGGAAGCTGCTCTATGTCATTCATCCTCAAATGAATGCAAATTAAATTCATGAGAAAACCCTGCATACCCACGAGAATGGCTAAATTTAAAAACGTCAAAAGTGCTAAATGTTGGTGATGATAGGTAGCCTTTGGAACCTTCATATACTAATAATAGGAATATAATTTGGTATACTCATTTTAGAGAACTAGTAGTTTCTTTGCATGTTAAGCAGTAATTTCTCTAAGCATTTATTTGCCCAAGGGAAATTTTTTTTTCTTAAGATTTTATCCATTTTTTTTGACAGAGAGAGACAACGAGAGAGGCAACACAAGCATGGGGAGTGAGAGAGGGAGAAGCAGGCTTCCCGCAGAGCAGGGAGCCCGTGCAGGGCTTGAGCCCAGGACCCCCGGGATCATGACCTGAGCTGAAGGCAGATGCTTAATGACTGAGCCACCCAGGCACCCCTGCCCAAGGGAAATTAAAACATATGTCTACAAAAGACTTATGCAAGAATGTTCATAGTACCTTTATCTGTAACAGCCAAAAACTAGAAATAATCCCCATGGGCATCAAAAGGAGAATGAAAAAAATTGTGGTATATTCATACAGTGTAATACTACTTGGAAGTAAAAAGATACCACCTTTGATATATGCCATAATGTGAGGTTTCAAAACTTTTATATTGATCTAAAGAAGCCAGATATACAGGAGTACACAGTGTATGTGAAGTTCCAAAATAGTGAAAATAAGTTATGGTGAATATAAATCATGTCAGAAGAAAAAAATCTTATTAGAGGCTGCCACTGTTGGAGGAAGGGATTTTGGCAAATTGCTGGGTCAACTGGAAAGGAACACAAGGGAAATTTCAGGGGTGATGCAAATGTCCTCTTTTTGCTTGGGCTGGTGGTTACATGGTGTATGGAGTTGCATTTAATTTACTATAAATTATACCCTCTCTGAGGAGAAGCCACTTCATAATTGGTGGCACTAAATAAAGTTGCAGAATTCTTTGTCAGGAAATTGTGAAGATCATTCCGTCATTAAGTAAGAATCTTTTTATCTTGAGGCGAATAAGTCAACACTGCTCCAGTTCAGTTGATGTGGCACTCCATGTACGTGGGATAAAGGTGAGGTGACTCAGGGCAATCTTTGAGGAACTGACATACTGGGGTCTTTCAAATTTGTAGAGTAGCTGAGCCCCCAACATTATATTCCAGTTTTTAAAATTCCTGCCACAACTTCATTAACAGCATAATCCTTATTTTCTGTGTTTCCTCAAGATTTCTTAGAATTTGCATAATCCTTTACAATGGAATCCATATTCTTCACAGGAAGACAGAACTGTTTTTGCCTGGTAATTATGCCTCAGTCATTAACAATCCATGGATTTAATTTTTTTAATTAAATTTTTTTTATTTTTAA